AGTGTATTGATTGGCACAGGGTAATCACTATCCCAGTTATCTTCTAGGAATCAACTTTATGATTTGCTCTACATGTGTTGGATTTCACACAAGTACATCCTATTCAAACATCACACCTATGCATGGATGCCTCTGGGAAGTAGAACAGTTGCCAGCTCAGGGATACACTTGGGTTGTACCATCTGACCTGGGCTTAATGCTGAAATATGTCTGAAGACCATTACTTACTCGTTCAAGTGCTGGAATCTGTCTTGCCAGTTAGAAGCTCGTGTTACGTTCCCAGTTTTATCAATTAATTTTATTCCAAAAAACTCTAACATCATTTTGTAAGCCAACAGAAATCTTCTAATTGCTTCTTTTGTTTTTTTGAATTCCTGCAACACATTTTAAGACATATTGAAAACATTACAACATTCAGCCTTTCTACCCTAAACACTCAGATAGTAAGGTTGTATTGTGAACTATTTGCTTTACCTCTATTTCATACGTTGTTAATTCCTTTGCATAGAAATTTAGTCCTTGTTCTCTTAGAGGAAAAAGCCTATATTAAAAAAAAAACCAACACATTTGCTTATAATGAAAGTTTAACTGAACACGCACACAAAAACTGACCAAGTAAAATGTTACCAACCACTGTATGTACGTGTGGTTGTGCTCCAACTTTTCATAGTCTCCTTTCCATTTGTTTAGGACTTCTTCAATATAAACACCTACAGCAGAAAATGTTAAACAATCCCTCAGTATAGTATTTTCCATTTAACAAATCTTTAGTGGAAAAAAATATTGTGACAAATTGTGAGCAGATACACGATGCAGATAATGATATGATCTAAAATTACATATTAATATTCTATATGAATATATTAAATTTCTATAAATGGCTAGCTCTGATTTAAACAAAACCAGAAGGGAAGACTCACATGATTCAATGGCCAAGAATGTTTTAAAAATCCTTAACACTGAAGAGAACTCCGATAAATCTGAAATTAATTTGTGACTGTCATGATTTAGATTCATCTCAAAGCCGATTCTTTCTCTTTAACCCAAAATCCAAAATAATTTGTCACCACCTGAGATCAGAGTAGGAAATGAGAACAACTGCAGCACCAATCCACAAACAATTATGGTGGCATAAGTAGATTAGTGTCGTTGGTTTAAACA